AGTTTTTAAAAATCTTCGAAGTTTTATAAATTATTGCTAATAATATTTTAGGAGAGAATTAAAAAAGAACTTGGATTTGAAGAAGAAACTTCAAGTAGCGAAAATAAAGAAATAATTGAGCAATAAATTATTACTATAAGTAATAATCCGAAGGAATATGAAAATACTGAAAATGATTCAAGACAATTATTGGAAAATAAAGAATTAGAAAGAAGGACTTTGGTAATGAGCGAAGATTTAATCAAACAAATAAATATAAACAAGCATTATGTAATAATAATAATTTTAAAAACCAATAAACATTGAAAATTGAATATTAATAGATTATAATATATGAATATAAATATATTTTTTATTATTAAAATAAATCAAAAATCTCCAGAGTTTAATATAGTAACCTTTGCTCTGGAGTCTTTTAACAATGATAGAGATCCTTCAGAGATCTATGCCTGAAGATTTTCAGAGCTCTTTGCTAAAAAATTTTCTGATACTCACTTGTTTTATTTTTTCTTTTCAAAACACTTTTTTTGTTTATTTTGATAACTAAATACAAGAAACCTACCTGAAAGATCTATAGTAAGAACACCTTTTTAGGAAGAAAACTGACAAGAAAAAATACTCTCCAAAGATTTCCAAAAAATTCAAAAATCCAGAAAAACAAGAACAAAAAAGTCTCCAGTCTTTTCATTATCTCTTTGGCTTTCCTCTTCTTTTTTCTCAAGTGTGCTTCCTTTTTTCTGATATTTCTGGATAATTTTGCCTATCTCAGTTTGACCTTAAATTTTTAATTATACCAGATCTCCTGAAAAATAATTGGTCAAGATCACAGATTGATTAATCACATTAGTCTCAAAAAAAGTAAACAAAACATGTACTTCTCACATGTTTCCAGTCACGCAACACCAAACTGATGATGTGATTGGTTCTTGAAAAAGTTGAACAGTTTTTGGTTGAAGAAGTAATATGGGAATATTAGGTAAAGTAGAAATTGTAAGTAGAAGAAAAGTGACCCCTTTTTGTTTCTATTCTTTTATTTTATGCTATTGTTTCCTATTCTTTTTTGAGGACAGGAAGTAGCAACAAGGTTTAGATCCTATTCCAATTAGATAACAAGTTGAAGTACCAATATTTATCCCGAAAATAGTTGGAGAAAGAGATTTTGAAACTATTCACTAGTTGAGTAAAGCAATAATTCCAGAAGACATGACTTGGAAAAGCAATCAACAATAGAAAATCAACATCCTTTCTGATTAGAAGTCTTTAAGTATAAAGTTTTAAAAAATATACACCTGAAAGTGCCCTTAAACATTCTTGGACATTGATTACTCCAATGAAAATTAAACAATTTATCTGATCACAGGTGGTGAGAAATAAGAAACCATGAAGAGCTTGAATTTTAAGTTTACTAAAATAACCTTTCAATAATAGTTAGAATAAATAATAGCTTTTTTTCTTTTTTTTTTTTGTCAAAAAATTTCTTTTTTATTTTTTTTTTCTCTTGCATAGTTTCTATGAAAGGAGGTGACACAATTTGAATTTATAATCATGACTGTGAAGGTGATCTGCAGATTTTGATCCTATTGGAAGTTCAGGATCTTAATCCTATCCTTTAGGGGAACAATATATCACACCCATAAATCACATCTAGAGGTTTCAGCTGTCAACGAATAAGTTGGGTCGAGGAAATTTGTACTTTGCATATATTTTCGTGTATGTAATAGTTTTTTGAAATTTAATAAATAAACAATACCAATCTGATTGTAGGATTAAAAAAAAAAGTTCTTATTGGTTTTTTCAAAAAATCTTATGTATCATAAATGTAAAATAAAAGAAAAATAATAATATAATAAATATTACATATGCTTAATAATAATGTTCTGTTCTCCAAATAAGTATAAAAATAATAAACCTAATAATTAATAATAAATGATTAATAATATTCTGGAAAGTTCCATGATATTTCAGAAGGTTCCAGGGTGTTTCACAAAATTCCAAGAAGTTTCACGATGTTTCACGATATTTCAAAATATTTCAGAGTGTTCTAAGAGTTTTTAGTTACATGGCATATGATGTAGTAAAAATATAAAAATTGTTATAATTAATTAAATATATAATTTATTTACTATTAATATATATTAATTAAAAACAATTATATAAGTTTCTAAACACTATAGATTAGATAGTTTATAAATTAGTAATATAATTTTTATTTCTATGGTTTCTTAATATTACAAAAGAAAATTATTAAATGATAGGTTCTTGAATATTAAATATAAGATGAAATATAAGAAATATATAATTTATATAAAATATATAAATACTAACTTATATAAGTTCTTTAAATAATTATAATATAAAAAAAAACCCCCTTTCTGTGCTTAAAAATTTCTTTTTTAAGAAATTTTTGAGTTGTCTGCTCTTTTTTCATTTTCTCCTTTTTTTCCTTCCTATACTCCCTCTCCCACTTTTTCTTTCCCTGCTGAAGCTAGGTTTTTTTCTTTTTTTTGAAGGTTTTTTTCTCTAGACCTCTCTCTTTTTTGAAAACTCCATCTCCATAACATCATTCCTCTAGTCGGTTAACTCTCTTTTCTCAAGAACCATATTAAGAAGCGATAATATTTCTTAGGATAGAGGCTTTAGAATTTTTTTTCTTTTTCATGATTCCTCAAAAAAAGAATGGATGGCTTACCTCTCCAAAAGATCGATATGGCCATAATTATCAAACCAGCATTATTTACTGATTAGTGGTTAGACTAGATATGTCCAAGAAATCTTTGTACAACTATTATTATCTGAAAGTACTTAAAAAGTTGTGCTTCATAATATCCAGAGTGAAATGGCAGCCAATGCCAATGCAGCTAACAATAAGCTAGGTTAGTTACAGGTATTATGTTGGTGATTGGAGAACTTAGTAGGATAATACATGATGATCAAGGATTCTAGTTACCTCGCAACACAAGCTGGTGATGATAACAAAAGTTCCTCGCTTATCTCTCCGATAATATAGGTCTATTGTACAAGGTTAGGTTCTGGTGCCACTAAGAAAATCAATATGAACTCTACCCATAGGACACTTTCGTCACACTTGAAGCATGGATGTGCCAAATTCTTTTTGGGACTTGAAAGCAAATCTGTATAAAGTGACTATAGTGCCTTTATGCAAAAAGGTACTTATTTCCCATCACCTCCAATACTACTTTGTTTGCCATACATCAAGCCATATTTCATCAGGAAATTTTTTGAGTAGAGAATTTCTGTATATCTCCGCTGTCATTAGAGATCTCTAAAAAATCAAAAATATATATATATATTTTAAAAATCTTTAAAAAATTATTTTCTTCAGAAATTACCAAAGGTTTTTAAAAAGTTATTAAAATATTTCAAACATTTGCAAAAACCTTCGATAATCTTCAGAGAAATTGATTTTTCAAAGATTTTTGAAATTTATATATATATATTTTGTTTCTTCAGAGATTTCTAATGATAGCAGAGATATGCAGAGATATACAAAGTTCCTTTGTTCAAAAATTTCCTGATGTTGGAAAGCAGACATACCAATTCTGTATTCCTTGAATGGTACTAAAAGAGCACAAGGGTTTGGTCCCATATGGGAGCCTTGCATTAAACTCCTGTATAAATTGGCTGCAACACCTTTATATGATTAGGTATTCATTTACTTCTAGGTAGCTAGATGCTATTCATAAACATATTATAGATTTTTGAATTTCAAATAAAAGTATAATAAATATAATAAAGCATAATAGCTATTTGCTCTTTTCAAAAAAAAAAAAAAAAAGTTTTTTAAATAATTTTTAATATCTAATATATATATATATTGACAAATAAAATATTCTATTACATAAGGATTCTAATAATTTGATTCGATTCTATATTTGATTCTCAAGTTTATATTAAATTTATTAAATTTAATAAGTAAAATATATTTTACTATTATTTTTAATAGTATTTTGAATATTATGTAATTTTATATAATTTTGTTTAATTTCATTTTTTAAAACCATACTATTTATTGTGTTTAATACCTTAAAAAAAATAAATTATATAATATAATATAACAGTTAATTTTTCTTGTAAATACTATATATGCTTAAAAAATTACTATACGAAATTGACTAATGCATGACCCATCTCGGATGATTTTTGATAATAAAAGAAAAGGCTGACGTCACCTTAGTTTTAAAAAAATATATATATTAATTTGCTAATTTTAAATAAAAAATAAAATTTTTAATAAAATATATTATTCCTTACATTCATCCTTTTCGACTCCAAATCCATTAAAATAGCAATTACCAACACTAAAAATTCCCAAAGCATTACCCATTTCGGCTGATTTTTTATAATATTCGAATGCCCCTGCTTTCATTCTTTTCGACCCATTTTCCACAACGATAAGCGTAATTGCCTGTAACTATTAATTATTCTGGTCACGATGGTAATGTTCGTGTAACTTCACATATAAATCTCCATACGTAGACGTGCCATTACGTTACGTGACTATTGATTTTTGCTTTCTCTAATGGGGGTACATATATTTGATAGCGCTCACGACGATCTAATTCATGATGTTGCCTACGATTTTTACGGTAAACGTCTAGCAACGTGCTCTTCGGACCAAAAAGTTAAAGTATGGGAGTACAACCAAGACAATAAATGGGAACTCGTTGACAGTTGGAAGGTATGTTCATTATCTTGTCTCTTGAAGACCCTAAAAAAAAAATAATAAATTGAAAACGCGTTATCGGGTATGCTGCGTTATTTTTAGGCACATGATTCTTCTGTTTTGAAAGTCTCGTGGGCGCACCCAGAATTTGGTCAAGTGTTAGCCACCTGTTCTTTCGATCGTACCATACATATATGGGAAGAACAAGAACATGGTAATTTATTTTTCTACCAGTCCTGTACTTTCATTCATGTAAAAAAATTTGGTAATAACAACTTATTATAGAGGCAAGGAATAGTGGAAAACGATGGATAAATAAGGCGACCTTAAGAGATAGCACCAGTTCTGTGCAGGACATTGAATTCGCCCCTAATTTTTGGGGGTTGAAGCTTGTACGCACTTTTTTTTTTACTTTCAAATTTAACGTTATAAATAATTTTTCGGAATGTTCATTTTTTTTTTTTTTCAGGCCTCTTGTACCGCCGATGGAACACTTCGAATATACGAGGCACTCGAAGTAAATAATTTAACACAATGGAACGGAACAGAAGAAATATCAATCACAGGACACACCACAAAAGAATCAGATGGAAACTATTGCCTATCGTGGTGCCCCTCACGAACTCAAAACCC